CCTAGGGTCAGCCTGGCCTCCCCAGACCTGGGCCTGCTGTCTCGGGGAGCAGAGGCCGCCCGTCACCACTGTCCCCGCCTCTGCAGTGCGCTGGGGTGGCCGGGGAGGACAAAGGCTGGGCCCCCATCGGGACACGGGCTCCGCCTGTGCTCCTCTGCAGGACTGGCCCTCACCAGCCCTCGGAGCAGTGACCAACTCGCCGTGCAGCGCCAACAAGAGGGGCGGCAGGGACCCCACGAGAGCCCTGGGGGAGGCTGGCAGAGCCGCCCTGCCCTGGTGGTGTGCGGGCTGCACGCGGGCCACGCTCTTCCATGCGCGTGTTAAGTAACACGCACTGTCTCCTCCCCGTGGCCCCAGAACACACAAGGCACATGGACAGCCTAGGGGGAGGGGCCCCGTCACCCTGACCCCGCCCTGTGGGGGAGGGGTCCCGTCACCCTGACCCCATCCTGTGGGTGGGGCCACGTCACCCTGACCCTGCCCTGTGGGAAGGGGCCACGTCACCCTGACCCTGGCCCCGTCGCCCAAGGCCCCCGGATGCCCTCCCGAGCCGCCAGGAGCTGCTGCGTCGCCTTGTGACGCTCGCGGTGCCAGAGTTAGCAGGACGTCCTCACCTCCCTCGTACATGTCAAAGTACCGCGCCGCCGTCATCTTCCCCGTGGCGTCTGGAACAGAGCAGGCGACGTAAAGCTCGCGGGCCAGGGGAGGCTGGTGCCCCACAGCCCTGTCCCTGCGAGAACACGCGAGACACGGTGGTCCCCGCCCCTCCCTGTGGGAACACACATGCCCACCCCTCCCCGTGGGAGCCTGGCCTCGGCCCCTCCTCCCTCCCACTTAGGACAGCCCTCGGGGCTCCCAGGACTGCTGTCCCTACAGCTCCGCCCGAAGGGCCTTGCTGTCAGCTCCCTCCAGGGACACCAGGACGCCGCTGGCCCCCACCCTGCGGGGTGCCCTCGGCAGGGCCTAACTAGACGGGCAAGGCCCACCTCTCGGGCCCTAGCGGCCCTTCTGTCACACAGGGGTGGGAACTGGCTGGTGTCAGCTCTGCGCAGACAAGGGACCCGAGAGAGCCCGAGCCTCGGCCCTGCGCGGCCGCTGGGTCCCCGCTGTCACCTGCCTGCCCTTCCCTGCCTTCCTCTAAGTCTCCTCCTGTTTGGCTCCTGCTGGTCTCTGTTGCTCCTGGAAGCACAGATAACCTCTCAAGTGAAGCCCGCGAGGGCAAGCAAACGCCCCATTTCAAGACGCATTAAAATCCAGGCCCGGGCGGGCGGATCACGCGTGTCCATCCGGCCCCGCGTGCTTGGAGGACACTCAGGAAACAGGCGCTCACTTACAGTCGACGACGGCAATGTTGATCCCCCTCGCCACGTTTCCCGTCTTCTCTCCTATGAGCCTGAAGCGTAGCTGGGCGTCAGTCACGGAGCTTCCGCACCTCTGCCCCGCCCACTGACCCCCGTGGGAGGAGCCGCACCTCTGCCACGCCCACTGCCCCCCATGGGAGGGGCCGCACCTCTGCCCCGCCCACTGACCCCCCATGGGAGGGGCCGCACCTCTGCCCTGCCCACTGCCCCCCATGGGAGGGGCCGCACCTCTGCCCTGCCCACGGCCCCCCCCAGGGTATGAGCCCGACCTATACCTGACCTGTTGGCCAGCATCGCAAGGGCGTCTGCCCTGGCTGACCTCACGGCGGGCCGGGAGAGAGAACTCGGTCCTCACACGGCAAGAGTGGGCGTGGGCCGACCGAGCTCACCCTGGCAGTCAAGTGGGGGGACGGGGGTGTGTGCCATGTTATACGTGTGTATGTGTGAACTGTACATGGTCCATGTGCTGCGTGTGGAACACGTGTATGGCATGGGGTGTGCTCATGGAGTGGGTGTGAGTTGGACAAGGCCAGTGTGTATTGTTTGCCTTGTCCATGTACTTGAGTGGACACATTGCTGGTGAATGTTTGTAATGAACTTACATGTGTGCAGGAGACTGTATGTGGGCAACAGGGTGGAAGGGGGAAA